GAGAGAGAGAGAGAGAGAGAGAGAGAGAGAGAGAATGCTGGTAAGGGGTCACCATAATGGAAAATTATGTTACACTAAGTCCTGTCTGCTTTGCGGTCTGTCCCACTTCTCCTTGATTGTTCTCCCTCCTTCATGCCTGTCCTTTGTATTCACCCTATGGACAGACACTGTCTCCATCCACCTAAGGTGGCCTTATGAATGGCACTGCCTAAAATTCTGGGCAATATCCCTTCATTGATGTATTTTGATTTATCCTCCCTTAATGAAAGCTTATATGTCTACTTTTCACCATTTTATGTAGTAGTTATTTAAATGGAGCACTGGATTGGAATCAGAATAACAGGATCCAACACCTAGAACTAACTTTGCCCACCAGTGTGACTTTAGGACAGACTCTTTAGTGTCTCCAAATTACTGTTTTCTGCTTTTGAAGTGAGATCTCAGCACTGACTTTCCAGTGTTGCAGAACAGATGTAAAGAATAAATGATATAAGTATTCAGAAAACCCTTGTCCTGAGCCAGGTTATTTACATATGAATCTAAGGAGCTAAGGAACAAAGGGGAGTTGGAGATGAGAGAGACGTTTGGGGGCTGGAAGCCTTCTTTAGATGATAACATGCAGATGGTCTATTTTTTGCCCTCTGTGAAGCCATCCTTTTATCTTACGGTGTGTTCAGGAGAATACAAGATTTTTTTTTTTTGAAAGATGACCAGTAAGGGGATCTTAACCCTTGACTTGGTGTTGTCAGCACCACGCTCACCCAAGTGAGCTAACCAGCCAATCCTATATAGGGATCCGAACCCGTGGCCTTGGTGTTCTCAGCACCACACTCTCCCAAGTAAGCCACGGGCCGGCCCTAGAATAAAAGATTTTCTAACTTTTTTGTGGGGTCCAAGGCCATCCTATCCATTCCTCTGCCTCCTGATACCAACTGAGTTTCCTCAGCTCACACAGATAATAATCAAGACCCTTATTTCAACTTCAGGGATTCTTCAATCTTCTCTGTCCCTTTGCTTCCAAATGTTATACTCTTTCCTAGCAGCAAATTTCCTTAATAAGCATTTGAGATCATCACAGACACTTCTTGCTACTAGTTGTCCTGATAGGAGTCTTGGAGGCCCACAGGTGAATGCACTCCCTGGGAACCCTCTCCTCTGGCTGACTCTCTTCTTCTGGGCCTGCCTTCTGTTCATTTTATCCTGTTCTTTGCTTTCCATTGATTTTTTTTTTTGGCCAGCTGATCAGTATGGGGTCCAAACCCTTGACCTTGGTGTTAGCAGCACCATGCTCTAAAGTGAGTGAGCTAATTGGCCAGCCCTGAATGTGTTTTGTTTCTGAGCAATTCTGTTAAAATGAAGACCTATCATTTTCTGAGAACCTATTCCTAGTCTCCTGGACTATGGAGAAAAAATTGTCCTGACACTTCTTCACATTTCTGTGGATGTGACCTCCTTCCAGGGCCAGCTTCATGGTTATGCAGCCTGTGGAGTCACACAGGACCACATGCTTGGTTTAGAAGGGCCCCATGCTTGGTTTAATGCTGTTCTGTCATCATTCTGAAATTCCAGTTGTTTTTTTAAAAAAGCCCCCGCATTTTCATTTTGAGCTGGGCCTGCAAATTTTGTAGTTGCTCTCCTCCCCCCAACTCTGACCTTGCTAGTTATGACCATGCCTCTAGGTCTTTACTGGCCGAGCCAGGGCAGATATGTAACATCCCAGCTTTTGTCTGCAGAACTTGGCTTCGTCAGTCTTTCTGCTCTCAGCCTGTTTATTTTCAGTCTCATCTCAAAGGCCCTGGCTGTGGAATTCTACCAGCGATCCGGGGGCACTAAGGAAAGCACTCCTTGACCCCCTCACTCAGCCAACACTCAGTTCCTATCGTGAAAATGAAAGATATGCCTTGAGCCATGTGTGCTAGGATATTATAGATGTGATATGCAGGATGAACAGAAGACCCTTGATACACCCTGACCCAGTGTCTACACAACTCCATGGTGGTGAGGGGGGGTCAGCTGTGCTTCCATGGTTGTGAGTCCCTGAGGGGAGGGTGGGGGGCTTGCCTAGGTGGGTGTAAGTGTCTGTACCAGTGAGCAGCTGTTTGTGTGTGTGCTCTGCTTGTGGGGTTGGACTAGCCTCAGGCAAACCTGTGATGTTCAGTTTTCCTCTTCCCAGCCCATCTTTCTCACATGCACAGCCCTCCACTCCATTTCTACATCCCAAGTCCTGCCCTCCTTTGATATCAATATGGGGCTCAGCATCCCCACTCCCTCCCTGGGGACCTAGTGTTACTGAGTTACAAAGTAATCTAGATTCTCTACATGTTGCTTCTCTTTTATCCCTTACAACAATAGTAAATGGTGGGTATTGTTAATGAGACTTTACAGTTGAGGAAACTGGGTTTCACACATTAATAAGGTCACTCATCACTGAAGAACCAGGGGTTGGAACTGAGCTTTATCTGGTTCTACAGTTTGGGTCTTTTCTCCACCCCAGCTGATCATAGGGACCCTGCACTTCCTCTGGACACATTTTCCTTTGTCTGAGTCCCACTGGATCCAGTCTATGACATCCAGTTGAATGACAGTCTAACTACCCATGGTGCCTACTGCTGTTATGGTAGTTGTTGTCAAATGGTCCAGGTTCACAGAGCAGTACTGTGAATTATTTCCCCTTTCTGCCTCAGGGTTCTCATCACCAGGTCCCTTTTCAGCTCTAAGAGCCTAGGATCTTCCAGGAAGTTTTTCTCACTTCATAGGCAAAATAGCTGCATTTTGGTGTGTGTTTGTGACACACTCCCTGCAGCATCTGGACTGTTTCACCTGGAATAACTAGTGTGATAACGGAGAGATGCCAGGCTGGGGACGGGGGGGACATCTAGGGGTACATGCACCCCCGCGGTTGAGGTTGCCCCTGCTCTCCTGCACGGCTTTGCTCAGCAGCCCTGGCCAGGTATGGATGCTGTGTCCCTGCCTCTCAGGGATCTGAGGTTTGGAGTGAATGAGGCGGAGAAGTTATAAATCTAATTTTAAATCCATACTGCTAAACAGTCAACCAACAAACCCAGCTTGTTTTGACTCTTCTTTACTGACTCGTGTTTTCTGTCTGTCTTTCTGGCATCTCTGTTCCACTCCTGCCTGCCAGCCTTTTTCTTCCTCTCTGTTCAACTGCACGCTCCGTCTGAAGGAATCCTGGCCCCTGACACCTCTCCGGAGCGGCTCGTCCCATCCCCGCGTTCCCGCTTTCCCTGCCCAGCCAGCCCTGCTTGCCTGTGCGAAGCAGTTGCGCCCCCTCTGACCCACCCCCACCTCCAAACCAAGTTTTCCCTTCTGGATCGTTCTACAGTCTAGCGGCTCCCAGGGTCCTAATAAATCTTCCCCTTCTCCACCACTCTCCCTGTCCCGAAATACCTCAGAAAAAAAGAGATCAGAAGTGGCTCTGCCCTCAACCCAGGTTCCCGGACCCTGAACATCCCCCGACCCCCACCCAAGTCCTTCGCGCAGCCGGGGAAGGAGCGAGAGGATGGAGTTCCAGAGCCGACCCCCGCGGGCCACCCCACGCCCCTCCGGCGACCGGGGACCGGGGACCGAGGCGCTGGGGCTGGGAGGAGGAGGCGGAGACGCCCGAATCTCACCTGTGACGGTCAGCCTGGTGCCCGGACCGAAGTGCAGCTCGTAGGAGCACGGAGGCTCAGCCCCGAGCGCAAACCCCGCGGCGCCGCCAGCCACCTCCCGCCCCGGAGGCCAGGGCCGAGCTCGGGCAGGGCGGCCCCCAGGTGCCCGGGACCTTCCATCCCGACCGACGGAGGGTCCCGCGGAAACTCACCCAGCACGGCCAGCCGGGTGCCCGCGCCGAAGTACTGCACGTTTTGGCTCACAGCCCCCGGGCGCGGCACAAAAACAGAGCCCCCCAAGCCCGGCGTCCGGAGCGCCCCCGCTTACCGAGCACGGTCAGCCGCGTGCCTGGCCCGAAATACTGAGTTTCTGTGCTCACAGCCTCCAGGCCCAGGACAAAAACCGGCGCCGCTCGCTCCTGCTGTGCCAGACTCAGCCCCGGTCCCCACCATCCCTGAGCGCTCCATGGCTCTCCCAGGACCCAGCATCAGGAGTTCTCAGCCCAGCGCCGGAGCAGCTCCTCTCAACACAGCCGCCTCTCTCCATCCCGCCCCTCGGAGCGCTGCAGGATCCCCAGCTGTCCTTACCCAGCACGGTCAGCTTGGAGCCAGCCCCGAAGGACAGCTGCCCGGTGTTCGCACAGCCCTGCGGACCCCGGTGCAAACCCCGCCTTCCCTCACAAAGGTCGCTAAATGGCTCAGTGCCCACTCTGCTCAGGCCAGGGTTCGGGGGGTCGTCCAGGCTGAGCAGTCCACCCACCTGGAGCGGCCTTCTTACCTACCACCGTGAGCCGCGTCCCTGGCCCGAAGAACTGCTCAGCGTAGGAGCACAGTGCCATGGGGCTGCCAAGAATTCCTTCCCCTTCCCCACCTCCCCCAGTAGACTGAGGGTGCACCCTCCCTCTCCTGCCTGGGCTTTCCCATTCCCACCCCCAGAATTAGCTGGGCATAGTAATCTGGACATTGCATGAGGTCACCACCAATTTGCAGTGGAGGATCAGCTTGTCTTGGGAACAACACAGTGGACGTGAAATCTGAAGGGATATTGTGGTGGTGTGTAAGCTGGATCTGGGAAGTGTTGCAGGCAGGACCGGGCCTCTCACTAGTTATATGACCTATACCCTCTATGGCCTCAGTTTCTTCATCTGAAAAATGGGATAATATCTTTCCCACAGGGTTTTAGTGAGTTCTTAATAAATAATGCATGTGTGAGCCCTTTGTCAAGGGCAAGTTTTAAGAAAAAGGCTGAATTCACGTGGCCTGCGTTGGCCTTCATGTTCCTGGGAAGCCGAGTCTGGAGCCGGGAGATGCACAGTTATTCACTGGGTCCAGGCCATTGCAAGGCCACAGCAGGGACCAGCTCCAGAGACCTCTCCCCATCCAGTAGCTGCATTCCCTGGGCTGGGTGAGGACATTTTCTGGGGCAGGGCTTTTTGTAAAAGCACTTCCTCTATTTGAATCATCGTGTCCCCCCCCCAGTCCCCACAATGTTACACCATGGTACAAAAATGTTTCCCCCCCGCTGGCCCTCCTCCCCCAACCACCCAGCAGAGGCAGGAAGCGCAGGTGGCAGAGGTTAGTCTGATTGAGTGGGGCTGGGAAAGGACAAAGTCAGGGTACATTTAAAGTGGGGAGGGGCTTGGAGAAGGTCTCTGTGTTAGTGGTGGTGATGGTGTCGGAGGCACAAAAGCCACTCCCTGGAACATGCACCACCCTGAGGAGACCACCTATGTCATGGGGTCTCCCCTCTGGGGCTGGTTATGCCCACCTCCTCAGACTGGCTCTTATAGTGAGGCTGGTGAGAGGAGCGAGGGGTGGAGAAATAGCTCCAACAGGAGAGTTCACAGAGCAGGTGAGGCAACTCATGGCACAAGGACAAACAGCTCAGAAATCTCTATAGTTCCCCCTTGCTTCCTGAACAAAGTCTAGACTCCTTATCACTCATTCATTGCACAAGTATTTAATGAATACCTACCATGTGCCAGGCTCCATGCTGGTTGCAATGATATGAGTCCATTCTCAGAGTGGCACACACCAACCTGCCCTTTCAGCCTTAATTTTGATTATTCCTATCTTTAAACTTTCCACCCAGCTAAAAGAATGTACGCAGAAATACCTGACTGTGTTGTTTGGTCTTCTGTTCATGCTTCTGACCGGCTCGACTGCTCTCTAGAGTGGAAAACTGAAACCAATTCTTCCTTTGAAGAGTTTGCCACCTCCTCAGACTCTTCCCTGATTTTCCCAGTCCAAAATTGAGTGCTCCCCTCTGAGCATTTTAGTAGACTGCTCTCATTGCTATTTCAAAGCATTGCCCTGTATTTCAGCTCTTTCTGTTCATGACTTACTCCTTTTATGAACAGGTTAACTTCTTGGGGACTGTTATTTGGTTATCTTTATTTTCTTGGAGGTCAATAGCAATACACGGCAATGATATGTGTTCAATGAGTGAGTGAGTGTGTGCACGTGTGTGTGTGTAGATATATACAATCGTGCACTGTGGTGTAATGACTTTCCGGTCAATGACAGACTGTACATAAGGTGATGGTCCTATAAAATTATGACAGAGCTGAAAAATTCCTATCACCTACTGACATCACAGCCATTGCAAAGTTGTAGTGCACTTACTTTACTTTTTATAAATAGAGTGTGGCCTAAGTGTACAGTGTTATAAAGTCTACAGTAGTGTATGGTGATGTCCTAGGCCTTCGCACTCACTCAGCACTCACTCACTGACCACCCAGAGCAACTTCCAGTCCTGCAAGCTCCATTCATGGTAAGTGCCCTAAATAAGTGTACCATTTTTATTTTTATCATTTATACTGTATTTTTACTGGATCTTTTCTATGTTTAGATTTGTTTAGGTACACAAATAGTTACAATTGTGTTACAATTGCCTACAATATTCAGTACAGCTGTACAGGTTTGCAGCCTAGGAGCCATAGGCTATGCCATCTAAGTTTGTGTAAAGCAGACTCTATGATGTTCACACAAGGACAAAATCGCCTAATGAAGCAATTGCCTAATGATGCATTTCTCAGAACATGTCCCTGTCACTAAGGGACGCATGACTGTTTATGCATATGTAGACATATGCATGTATGTATGCGCACACACACACACACACACACACATCTTTGTATGCATGTATGTGTTGCAATAGAGAAGGAAGCCTGTGTGGTCTAGTCCTTTAAATGGAAGGCTATTTCAGGCAGGCCTCATGGCTATGACTGCTCCTGAATTGGGTCACTTTGAGTTCATTCATTTATTCAAAGATACTTACCCAGTGTCTACACTGAGTCAAGGTACTATGCCATGTCCCAGGGATACTATCATAAAACACATCTTTGTTATCAAGAAACTCACAGTCAAGTGGGTGTGTCAGACAAATTTCCATCAGGTGTGACAAATGTCATGAAGGAGGTATGAAAAGCCACTATGACAGCAAAATAAAGGCTGAATCTAATCCAGTCTCAGGGGGGTAGGAGGTAAGAAAGGGGCAAGAAAGGGCCAAGGAAGGCTCTTTGGAAGGGAGGATATGGGAACCAAATCTGTAAGTCTATGTAGTAGTCACCAAGGGAAGAAAAGTGCTCTGTCATCCCAGGTGGAGGTGCAGCATGTGCAGGATGACCTGAAGGCCAAGAGCTCAGGGGGTGCAGGGACGAGAGGACAAGGGGAATGTGGACTAAGGAGTGGAGGGCAATCATCATCAGGTCTCACAAGCCATCTCGAGGACTTGGGACCACATCACCATGGTGACAGTGAGACAACAGAGAGCTTTTGAAGGATTTCTAGAAGTAGAAATAGGTCTAATTCTTGGTTTTAGGGAACTTTATTTTCTATCCTTCTGGGAATGAGTGGGATGTTTTCACACCTACGTAATTCACTACAGAGAAATGTATAAACAGATGTGTAACTGAAACTGGAAGGCACATCTTCCATTGAAAATCAATTTCCAAGTCACTGCATTGTCTTCTTAGCTGGGAACCCTACTTAGTGAGGGAGAGAACTAGTGTCCTCAGTGAGGGAGCTGGAAGGAAGGTGGGCCATGCAGACATGGCCAGCTGGTGGGTGGACACATCTGAGCAGGTCAACTCTTCCTTAGAGCACCTCTGTCCAGGGCAGGACAGAAAACTCCTGTATTCAACATCTCTGTCTCTTTAGACTGTTCAGGGAGCAACCTCTTCAGCTCCCTTCACCGCCTTTCACATTTAATTCACCTCTTTTGTCAATTACAGGGTGGGTCCCTCACCCCTCTTACCTGAGGGAACTTGACTTTCCTTAAATACTTATTGTTTCTACCCTGACTGAATAGGGAGAGTCACAGAGAGTTCAGAGATGGCAGAAGAGATACCTAGACATAAGTCAGAGTCAGGCCAGAGCAGAACATTTTTATTGGTTTGGTCACTTAGGCACACAAGGGTCCCCTCTGGGTTAGGGAAATTCTAGTGATGAATGTGCAGCTGTGCATGCACAGAGGGGTAGATACTGTATGAGCAGAGAGATGAGAACAGCTTTTCAGAAGCACTGGCAGAAGGAGAATCCATATTGGCGCCATAGTGGGTTGGAAGCTTCCGACTCCACCTCCAGAGCTGGCTTCAGGAATCCTTTTTCTTGACCTGCAGAAGAGAAGGTTTTGGTGGTTACCAAGAGCCAGGAGCGGTGGGGACTGAGAGGGCATATGAAAGCCCATTGACCAGACAAATAGTACGATTCCTCAAAATATCCATTGGGTTTTCAAGTGACCCCATCTTCTTCCCAGCACAGCCCGTCCACCTCAATCCTGCAGAACTGCAAGTTATCTTCTGAGGCATGTGAGTGGAACTCCCTCCTTCCCTATTGCCCACCTCTGGTCCTGGCAGGGCCTCTACACCCCTGGTTGGGAATTGCTGAGTGTCACATGTCAGCTGCAATCACCTGCCCCATCCTGTCCTTCTCCTTACCATGGCCATCAGCACCAGGGCGCTGACCAGCACCGCGTACAGGGTGGCCTTCCCCAGCAGGATTTCATAGAGGACAGTGGCAGAAAGAACCCCTTGCTGATAGGACACTGTGGACAGGAAAGAGAGCTGGTAGGTACCTGTGAGCAGGTAGCTCTGGCCTCCCCCACCCCTCAGGGTCCATGGGTTCTCCGTGCCCTGATTCCAGAGCAAAGACCGTGGGGATAGAGGGAAAAAGGAGAGACTCACTTACCCGAGGTGAGGCCACAGTCTGAAAGACAAAAAGGGGGAGAAAAATGGATGAGAGACTTTGTATTCTTAAGCAAATTAAAACTAAAGTCAGCTGTGTAGTTAGCACAGACTCCCAGGCCCAGACCAGCTTCCTCTGACAGTCCTAGCACCGTCTTCTTCTGTTGATTTTATGTCAGCCACATAATCCTGGTAATCCATGGAACATGAAGTACTGAATGTGACGGGGGAGTAATACTCAGATGCTGAACTGAACAGGCCAAGTAGAAAGGGGGACTTTGCTGCAAGGCTCTGGGGGGCTAGGATCTGGGAGAGGAATTAGCATGAAGTTCCTAGTTCACCTTCCTGGTGTGCTTAGGTCCCTGCTCCCTACCTTTTTTTCCCCCTTTATCTAGTCTTTCTTCCTTCTGGATTTCTGCCTGGACCTTCTGTTTCCTGTTGGTGGCAGATCTGACTCAGTGTCCTCTTGGACTCCCAGGCCCCACTCACCTGCTCTGCCCCAGGCCTCGGCACTGACGTTCTGAGTGATGGGTTTGGCCGAGTCGTAGGTCCACTGGTCTTCATCCGTGAGCCCGTAGAACTGGACTTGGCAGCGGAAGTGGTTGCGGGGGTTGTGCCAGAAGGAGGCCGAGACCCTCAGGCGGCTGCTCAGGCGGTAGCTGGAGTTGTTGAGGCCGCTCTGCTCCTTGTAGGGCTGAGGGTCTGTGCTCACCCCACTGTGGACCTCCTTCCTATTCACCCACCAGCTGAGCTCCACGTGGTCGGGGTAGAAGCCTGTGGCCAGGCACACCAGCGTGGCCTTGTCGGTCCGGGAAATCTCTGCTTCCGATGGCTCAAACACAGTGACCTTGGGTGGGGTCACCTTGCTCAGGTCCTCTGGAAGGTGAAGAGGGGTTGGGACCAGGGTTGCTCTGAGAGCTCTTTTTGCCAGTGTGTGTGTGTGTGTGTGTGTGTGTGTGTGTGTGTGTGAGAGAGAGAGAGAGAGAGAGAGAGAGAGAGAGA